CATGTTAACACCCTGAAAGCAAGTGCTATTGACCCCAGTTCTTCAGTGCAAAAATACAGGATTATTTACTAAAGCTGGATAGTGCAAAATCAGGCTTAGTACTGCATAGAAACCAATCAGCTTCTAACCTCAACTTGTTCAATTAAAATTTGACAATAAAACATTGAGGCTGATTGGTTTCTTTGCAGAAGTGAGCTTGATTTTGCACTCTCCTGTCTTAAAGAAACCCCAGTCTCTTGGTAGTAAACATCTCCACCTGGGACAAGACAGCCCACATATACTGCTTACCAGACTGACATGATCCCCCCAAAATGAGTGGGCATTAGAACTTGTGGAATCAGCCCCAAGCATCCATGGCAAACTTAATTTTTTCCTATATGGATACCAGACTCACAAACAGCAGAAACAAAAAGGGAAGCATAGGCTCATAGTATAGTAAGCAAGAAACCTCCTTCGTTAAAAATCTTAAAATATGCACTCATATTAATTTAGGTGCTGTTTTTTCCATAACATGCAAAAAAAAAAAGTTTCTAACTTTTGCATTAAAAAATATTGTGTGATTCCATCTCACTGCTGTAGTGCAGTTCATTTTGAAAAAGATAACATCTTCATTTTTCTATGTTTGTTGGAACACAGAAGTCAATGAAGTCAATGTCCGTTCATCAAAAGGCATATAACATGTTTTATTTGTTTGTTAGCAAAATGTATTAACAAATTTGGGGCAATAGCTGTTAACACAGTCCACTCAAAATTCTAACTTCAAAAATGCATTGAAAACACAGAACACCACAAAAGCATATCATTACACAAAGGAAATACATGTTGACAGCTGACAATGCACTTGGCTAACCGTAAAAAAAAAGAAAAAAAAAAGCACTTATGTGCACAAGCTTAGATCTGAATGGGCCCAAAAGACTTCAAGCTCCGTTTAAGTGGTCATTTTGTGTCACTGGTTGTAGAGATTTAAATATTCATCTAGAAATTATAGTTACAGTTGCAAGAAAAAGTATGTGAACCCCTTGGGATTACATGGAGTTTTGCATGAATTGGGCATAAAATGTGCTCTGAACGTCATCTAAGTCACAACAACAGAAGAACACAGTCTGCTGAACATAATACTACACAAACATTAGATGTTGCCATGGTTTAATTGCACATAACATGTAAACATTCACAGTGCAGGGAGGAAAAAGTATGTGAACCTTTGGACTTAATAATTGGTTGACCCTCCTTTGGCAGCAATAACCTCAACCAAACGTTTCCTGTAGTTGCAGATCAGACCTGCACAATGATCTGGAGTAATTTTGGACCACTCCTCTTCACAAAACTGTTTCAGTGTAGCAATATTCTTGGGATGTCTGGTGTGAATCGCTCTCTTAAGGTCATGCCACAGCATTTCAATCGGGTTGAGGTCAGGACTCTGACTGGGCCACTCCAGAAGGCATATTCTGTGCTGTTGCAGCCATTGTTTTGTTGAATTACTTGTATGCTTTGGGTCATTGCCCTGTTGCATCACCCATCCTCTGCGGAGCTTCAGTTGGCGGACAGATGGTCATACGTTTTCCTGCAAAATGTCTTGATAAACTCTGGAATTCATTTTCCCATCAATGACAACAATCCATCCAGGCCCTGAGGCAGCAAAGCAGCCCCAAACCATGATGCTCCCTCCTCCATGTTTTACAGTGGGGATGAGGTTTTGATGTTGGTGTGCTGTGCCTTTTTTTCTCCACACATAGTGTTGTGTGTTCTTCCCAAACAACTCAATCTTGCTTTCATCTGTCCACAGTATATTTTCCCAGTAGTGCTGTGGAACATCCAGGTGCACTTTTGCAAACTTCAAATGTGCTGCAATATTCTTTTTGGACAGCAATGGCTTCCTCCATGGTGTCCTCCCATGTACTCCATTCTTTTTTAATGTTTTCCTTATTGTAGATGTGTCAACAAAAAATGTTAGCATGTGCCAGAGATTTCTGTAGGTCTTTAGTGGACACTCTGGGATTCTTCTTTACCTCATGCAGCATTCTGCGCTGTGCTCTTGCAGTCATTTTTACAGGACGACCACGCCTAGGGAGAGTAGCAACAGTGCTAAACTTTCTCCATTTGTAGACAGTCTGTCTTACTGTGGACACATGAACATCAAGGCTTTTGGAGATACTTTTGTAACCCTTTCCAGCTTCATGCAAGTCAACAGTTCTTGATCATAGGTCTTCTGAGAGCTCTTTTCTGCGAGGCATGGTTCACATCAGACAGTGCTTCTTGAAACCAGTAAACCCAAAACAGGTGTGTGTTTTAAGAGCAGGACAGCTGTCAGCAACACATCTAATATCATCACACCAATTGGAGTCAAGGTTGGCTCACTCCTGGCTCCAATTAGCTCTGGGAGAAGTCATTAAGCTAGGGCCTCACATACTGTTTCTGCCCAATTCATGCAAAACTCCACGTAATCCCAATGGCTTCACATACTTTTTCTTGCAACTGTATATAAGGTGCAGTAAAACCTTGGTGGTTGAAAAAGCCTTTGATTGGGATTCGTATGAAGAAACTATACAAGCAGTGTGTGAAAATAATGAAATCACAGTGCATTTAAAAAAACATGCACTTAATTTATGAGAAAAGGTAGCAGAAATGTACTTTTAATTGTAATTTATGCAATTAGAATTTTTCGACTAAAAGTATAACATTGCATATTTGCTGGAGTTTCACCTTATATAACTGGCAATTGGCATTAAAGATATGTGAACATCTACCTGGCAAAACGTAGTAAAACAGCCTAACTAACTTGAACACAGAAGACTGATACTCCAAATGGAATGGCCATTGAGTGGGAAAGGAGGGACATTAATGCTATAGTCCTTTGAAATAAGCAGATTAATCCACCCAGAAATAATGGATTGAGAGGCAGATTCATCCTTCTGAGTACCCTTGGGTAGTGCAAACAGATTGTCAAAACAAAATTGTAGACTTTGGGTTAGTTTGAACAGCCTGAACATCCAAAGAGTGAAGTACCTTCTCCTTAGCGTGCTTAGGATTAGGACAAAGCATGACAATACAATGTAGTAATCAGTTGGAATGGAGAAATCACCTTATGTAGGAAAGAGTACTGAGGCCTCAACATCTACCTACACATCCTGGTTTTCTGATCTCACCAACAGTTCTGCAATTTTCTGTGGATAATAGCCATTATCAGTTGGTGACATTGCCTTTCAGCCTGTCCACAGTTCTCAGAATGTTTACGAAGGTGTTGACTCTAGTTCTGGGGTTGTCCAGCACTCAAGGTATCCCTATCATGGGGCACCTATACTACCAACTTCTCACAAAGCAATTGGCTCAGAAGCTGGCATCAAATGTCCAACAGTTGGTACAGGTCCTGAAAAGGTTCAGTTGAGCAATGAACCTTCAAAAGTCTGCTTTAGTTCCAAAACAGCATCTTTATTTTTTAGTTCTAATCTTTTACATGGCTCAGGGGATGGGTGGGGAAAACGATTGCCGGATTGCCGCGTTCAATGCAGTCCCTTATGCCCAGTTTTACTCCAGAGCTCTTCAAATCCATCAATATGATAGATGCCAGCCTAGACTGGCTAGGAAGGTGTCTTAGGAAGGTGTCTTAGAGAACCTCTTGGCTTGGGGAATGTAGTCATCAGAGGAACATAATATGCAATCGATATCCTGAAAGTTCTGCCTCTCCTACACTGGTCTGTCTACTTAAGGGTCTCCCATCATTGTGCAGTCAGAAAACACCACAGTTGTGGCACACATGAATTTATTTTGAATAGGCTGTCAACAAACAAGTACAGAAATACAGTGCAGGACAGTAGTGTATTACCATGCACTGTGGTGCACTGCAATGTATGTGCAGCAGAGCTGTGTTGAGTTGAGAGTGTCATTTAAAATGCTTACACAATACAATACAGTGTTCCTTTAAGCTGATTCAGCCCTAAGACATGCTTCAAACCTACATTTTTCTTTTTTTTTAACTTAGAATACTGAACATAACCCTTTATCAATGTGTTTTCATAAATACCTTGCCCCATACAATGTCACTCTTGTCATCCCATTTAATAAAAACATCTTGATCTCTTCCTCTTGTAAAAGCTGGATAAGGCTCAGTCTCATTTCCTGCAATTGCTGGATCCTAAAACGTGGTTAAAAAATATGAGATGTTTTATTTATGAACCATAAAGTCAGAATGTTCACTAGTTCTATTTTCTTCCATAAAACAAGGCCATTGGTCAAGAAACCTCTGATTCATTCATATTCCACCTTTAGGATTTGTTTACACATCTATATTTTAGAAGTCCTATACCAAGTCATATAATTGTTCTTTACAAGATTTTTTTTGTCACCAACCCTGCTGACCCCTACTTCTAAAAATGACAAAATCCTGGTTCTCATGCCAGTCTCCTAGCGTAAATACTTACCAATGACCTGATACAAGTATGCAGATAAAATGTTTTAACTTTTCTCTGACCCTCCTGATTTGCATACTTGTTTAAGGCTAGTTATTCAGATTTGTTAGCATAATGGTCAGGCTAAACTTTCACAAGGAAGTCAGCTGTAGCGGCCTCTACATTTCTCATATGGCAGGTCTACTATAAAAAGAGCATGTAACCAAATTAGAAAGTAGAAACATATTTGAAAATAAAAAATATAAAAAATAAAAAGGCAATATTAACAACACAACTACTGTATGCCATCTTGCCTGAAATGTGAAAGCTTTCTGGAAGAGATTACAAACTCACATATAATTATGTGAATACATGTGTTTTTTTGTCTAATGTTAAATTATTTCATTTAAGTGCTGTAATTAGGTTTCTTTGGTGCTTGGATAAATGTCAGGGTTGAGAGTTAAAGGTTATATAGCTGTGTAAACAGTATTGCTACAAATCTTGGCTAAGTAATCCAACAATACTTCACATATGTCATACCAGCATGATGATAACTCTCATTCCATCTAATCGGATATTATCGAAGATTTCAGGGAGTCTTGAAAAATTTTTGCCCAAGGTGAAATCCATTTGCCTCTCCATGTAATCAATGTCAGCATACTGCACATCCTGAGAGAATACAATACATATTCAGTGCACAACAATGTGCTTTTACAGTAAATGCAAGGATTGTGATAAATTGTAAACTACAAATGAGAATGCACAGGTTGGAAAAAAACTAAAATATACAGACAATACAATCTGCAAGAACTCATTAAACAGTTAGCCCACAATGAGTTACATTAGTTTGCCCACAATACATTACTGAAAGGTCACACAGTAAAATACTATACAGTAGATGCCAGCAAGTATTAAAATACTTAATGTAGTAATGCGTAGAGATGGTTGAATGTGCCCAGGTTAAACTTCTTTAGGGAAAGGGGGAGGGGGGGATTGAATTCTGTAGGAAATTTTGTGGAAAGCAAGTTTAGTAGAAATCCTACTGAAAAAAAACTGGTAAATCTTGATATTAAATTCTTGCTATTTTGAAGGATAATAGGCAAGCTATTGTAAAAGATATTCTATACCGATGCCAATGAAAAAGAAAAAAACAGTGCAGACGGGGTCCTGTTTGTGTTGCTTTAAGGACAAGATGAAAAATGCACAATACTTACAAATATGTTTGAGGGATACTTTAAAGCTGTATGTTGTATTTCATTACAGACATGTTTTTTAGTCTCATTTTCCATTACAGTGTACTTTGACAGCTTATTTTTGACTGAGGAATTACTGACAGTAGTAGCACCATAATCTTCATTCATTTGATTGATATTAGTTAAAGATAAAAAACTAAAAGCCTATTAGCTGGCGGACATGGAGAAGTAATATTTCCAAAGTGTAGGGTTTTTTCAGAAAAAAATGGTATTGCTGATGTACCCTATTCATCCTTCTTTATTAATCCCCAAAGAACCCTTGAAACTGACAACAAAGGGATCCAGAAGAACTGTTTGAGCACTTTTTTTCTAGCTTGCTGTAGTGGTTGCAAGGAAAATTATAGCTATACAAGGCTCTTCTTTGATTCTCTAGCTCTCCTTGACCCCTCTGCATATCTATCTATCTATCTATCTTGTCTATTAATCTCAATTATACCCCCTGCCCCTCCCAGATCAGTTGCGGGAGCCTGCAGAGGAATATGACCCCTGTCGTCTGTTCTGCGACATAACATGTTGGGCTAAGCATAGAGAATAGTGACCTTGTATTATACATCGTAAAGAACTGGTGAAATTAGCCTCTTTCCTTAAATTCAAATTATCTGCTTTAAGGACCGCCCGCAATGTACTGTGGTCTGTGCAGGCAAATCAATCTACTGGTATGTCACTGCCTGCTTCTGGGTTTAGGGTGCACACATACCCCCCTCGCTGACCCCCGCTGTGAGTCTGTCAGTAAGTACTGGCCAATGATTCATGGCCAGGACCTGCTGATCGGCTATGCAAAGAAAGAATAAGAAACAAAAAGATCTGTTTGTAAATGCAGCACTTAATACACACATCACACATTGTTATGCACACATTTAATCCCTTGATCACCCTAGATACTAACCCCTTCCCAGCCAGTGTCAATAGTACAGTGACAGTGTATAGTATTATCAATGATCACTGTATTAGTGTCACTGGTTATGTCAGTAGCAGCTAGTCAGCTCTCCCCCCTCGTCAGTTAGTGTCAGATTGTCCATCGCACTATCGCAGTCCCATTATAAGTCGCCGATCACAGTCATTAGCAGTATATAAAACAAAAACAATACAGTGGGGCAAAAAAGTATTTAGTCAGCCACCAATTGTGCAAGTTCTCTCACTTAAAAAGATGAGAGAGGCCTGTAATTGGCATCATAAGTAGACCTCAACTATGAGAGACAAAATGAGAAAAAAAAATCCAGACAATCACATTGGCTGATTTGGAAAGAATTTATTTGCAAATTATGTGGAAAATAAGTATTTGGTCACCTACAAACAAGCAAGATTTCTGGCTCTCACAGACCTGTACCTTCTTCTTTAAGAGGCTCCTCTGTCCTGCACTCATTACCTGTATCAATGGCACCTGTTTGAACTTGTTATCAGTATAAAAGACACCTGTCCACAACCTCAAACAGTCACACTCCAAACTCTACTATGGTGAAGACCAAAGAGCTGTCGAAGGACACCAGAAACAAAATTGTAGACCTGCACCAGGCTGGGAAGACTGAATCTGCAATAGGCAAGCAGCTTGGTGTGAACAAATGAACGGTGAGAGCAATAATTAGAAAATGGAAGACATACAAAACCACTGATAATCTCCCTCGATCTGGGGCTCCACGCAATATCTCACCCCGTGGGGTCAAAATGATCACAAGAATGGTGAGCAAAAATCCCAGGACCACATGGGGGGGACCTAGTGAATGACCTGCAGAGAGCTGGGACCAACGTAACAAAGGCTACCATCAGTAACACACTACGCCGCCAGGGACTCAGATCCTGCAGTACCAGATGTGTCCCCCTGCTTAAGCCAGTACATGTCCGGGCCTGTCTGAAGTTTTCTAGAGAGCATTTGGATGATCCAGAAGAGGATTGGGAGAATGTCATATGGTCAGATGAAACCAAAATAGAACTGTTTGGTAGAAACACAACTCGTCGTGTCTGGAGGAGAGAGAATGCTGAGTTGCATCCAAAGAACACCATACCTACTGTGAAGCATGGGGGTGGCAACATCATGCTTTGGGGCTGTTTCTCCGCAAAGGGACCAGGACCTGGTTTTGATGATTATGGCTGTACACTTGTGTCAGTGGTGGCACATGTAAATATGAGCTCATTAATTGTTTTTTACATAATAAAGATTTTAAATGGTTTCATGCTATGGGAGCTCCCCTCTTCTTTTTTCCTCCCCATGTGACTTTTTGAGCTAGAGTGAATATCTTTTCTTAGAGGTCTCTTAAGAGGAGGATCGTTGAAGCAGCGGCCTGTTACTCCCATGTGTCACACGCTGTTAGCTGGTTTATAATATTACCAGCATGGAGCTCTGGTGAGTTTATTTAGTATATTTGGTGGTGGAAGAGGACAGATGGTGACCGTTATGAAGATACATGGATTCATTTATGTTTATGGTGGACATTATTAGCCTCTATGTGGATGGTGGACATCACATACACGGGGAATATAGATACACATTTTATATTTTTTATGTTTTGCTTTTTTTTTTGCAGATACTACACATTATTATGCATATAAACTATTATTATATGAACTTTATATGAACTTGCATGTTTGCACATTGCATGTGATACTTTATCATTGGATGAGATTTTTAAAGAAATCTTTCTGCACAATTTGCACATGGCACTTTGATATACATATGTTTACAGGAACTGGATATGATTGTTTAGTTTATAGGTTGGGAGCAGGGTAGTGCTGTTCTTTTTGCCCATTATTGTCAGAAACAACTGCCTGATGCATTCTAATCACCCCAAGCTCACAGTTATAGGCTTAAAAAACAGGAAAAGAATCCAATTAATTAAAAAAAAATATAGCTACAGTGTTGACAATTAAAGCGCTAGCTATTAATAGGTTTTTGCAGACAGAAATTTGTCCTTAATAGAATTTGTAGGTGAACAGATCTGTGCATGCAGGCAGGGCATATAAAAAATACTTCCAGCACTGCAAATCAAAGAACTCAAGCATAGTTTGTTAAAGTAGATATAAAACTATTCACTAAAATTTCATATAAGCTTTAACATGATCATATCACTTGGACAGTTTTTTTTTTTAATTGCTAGCTTTCATGAAGATAACAGCTGGTGATATTGATATATAAGGTAATTGTTGGGGCACGTTGTTTTATGAGATGACAACATTTTGCTTGTCTCCCACAATACCCTATCGATATAAATCACCCTGTCACAGATTTTCCCAAAGGAAACTATAAGATGCTGTAATGAGATGCGTTGCTCAGGCATATTTAAAAATTGTCACCATATGAAAAAAAAAGCCTGTGAAAAAACTGTTACAACCAGCAACAATTAGGAAATTTGCCATGTGCAAAATTAGGCAGAGGCATAGGCAGGGACGTGCATGTGGACAAGTGTATATCACCACGTTATAGATTTTAAAAGGCTGCAGACAGCAGGGCTAGAAAATGTACCTGCGCTTTTCATGATAATGAAAACACTGGTATTTGATGCACAGTGTCTAAACACCCAGTCTTCACAAGGCCCTATGGTTACAAAGGATTAGATTCGGCAAATGTCCACATTATTAGTTGCGACCAAAAATGCTGAACCTGTTGCAGCCACAAACCTGAACCTCATCTCTACTAATGATCTGTCCCACAACAGAAAAAATAGTAATTCTTATATAAAATATTGGCATTTGAATAACATACCGAAAAGCAAACTGACGATGCATATTATATCAATTTTACATGTGTCATGGCATGACTGTAATTACTGATTTTTACTTGGTGGAGATGTGAGTATGTTTATACAGTACCTAGGAGATAGGTGCTTGAATTTCCCAGACCTAAAACAGAGTTAAGCAGTATTAACCAATTCAATACGGGGCGCTTACACCCCTTTCCTGCCCAGGCCAATGTTCAGCTTTCAGAATTGTCACATTTCCAATGACAATTGCACGGTCATGCAACACTGTAAACAAACTAGATTTTTATAATTTTTTTTGACACAGATAGAGCTTTCTTTTGGTGGTATTGAATCACCAATGGGTTTTTGATATTTTTTGCTAAACAAATGAAAAAATACCAAACATTTTGAAAAAAAACCCACACACAACCTTTTTCTTTGTTTCTGTTACAAAATGTTGCAAATAAGTTATTTTTCTTCTTCACTGATGTGCGCTGATGAGGCTGCACTGATGGGCACTGTTGAGGCAGCACTGATGGACACAGATGAAGAGGCACTGATGGGCACTGATATGCGGCACTGATGAGGCTATACTAATGGGCACTTACATGCTGCACTGAGGAGGCTGTACTGATGGGCACTGATATGCTACACTGAGGGAGCTGCACTGATGGGCACTGATATGCTGAACTGATAATCAGAGCAATGATGATCAGTGCCCTGATTATCTGTGTAAATGTTCCTG